CTGACCACGCTTCCTCGAGAGGACGGAGAATTGTTCCCACACACAGGACCGAACACAGGACGGATCACCGATGGCCAATCGTTCCTTCCTACTTTGCCAAAGGTGGCTCACAGTGTCTTCCCTAGTCTGTCTATCCTAACGATATCCCTTCCCGCCTTTCCAACCCACCTCCTATACCCCAGTACAGCTACCGTCCTTTCCTCTCTATTCCATGCCTCAAACATCTCCCTGTACGTCCCATCTGTATTTCCCAGCTCAGTCACGTACACTTCCCTCTCCTTCTTGTACAACGGACATTCCGCGACTACATGAACACGGTCTTCGCATTCGAAGTCGCGATCACCTTTGAACTCGTCGTCTTCGTCGTCTACTGTCCTATGTCTTCGTCGACGTTCTCGAAGGCCTATGTCCGTGGTCCTGAATTTGACCTTGGGCTTTGTCTCTGCATCCATTGGTCCATATAGGTAGTCCTTGAACCCTATTCCTTTCTTCAACATTTCGTACACTTCTAGGCCCTCCTTGTCCTTGGATCCTTTCCTTAGATTCTGTTCTTCGGCACATGCAACAGATATCTTCTCGTTGAACCCCTGTAGACCCTCCGTTTCCAGCGTTTCATCTTCGTCGATGTCGAGCCCCTTCCATACGTCCTCTACAACCTTGACCCATTCCGTGGGTTGTCTACCCCTCTTTTTGTTTGCCCACTTCGCCTCCCATACAATTCTCGGCAACCTCTCCTCTCCCATCCCGCACATGCGATACTGCCAGGTCAGCTTCCTCGCGTCTCTTCCCGACCGTAGGGATTGGATCCCCAATTCTGCCCTGACGGCTGCGTTACTTGTGCGCCTGGAGCATCCTAGGATGGTTTTCGCTGCTTTCATCTGCGCCGCCTCGAGTTCTTTCACTACCTTCTTATTTCTTTTCCATACGTCTCCGGCGTACTCTAGCGGCGGTACGATTACGCTCTTCAAAACCGTCAATTTGATGCGTGTATCGAGGTGCCGGTTTGCGAGTATTGGATGCAGCTTCCCTGCTCGTGCTTTGCCCTTTTCCGCTACCTTGGACATGTGTGCATTCCACGAGCAGTCTTTTGCGATCTCTACTCTCCGAGGTATGTGCACTGGTCCACTACTGCAATCTCCTCGATCCCCCACTTCCATCTATGTTCTACTGGTTCCTCCTTGTTCTCGTTGCATACCATGACGGCACTCTTCTTAACGTTGGCAGACAATCTCCACCTATCAGTAAACTTCTTCGCCGCGTCAATTTGCAGTTGCAGTCCCTCAGGGGTGTCCTTCCACAGCCCATTTCTCCATATGGTGTCGTATGCCTTTTTCACGTCCAGGAAGAAGCAGTACGTCGGCTTTCCCGCCCTCTTTCTACCTTTGATGATTCTCCCTACCGTGAATACGTGGTCTACGCACCCCCTCTTCTTTCGGAAACCTGCCTGGCCCTCACTTTTGCTATGTTCCTTCTCCAATACTCCCAGTATCCTATCGTTCAGCAGCTTACAGAACACTTTTCCTACTGTGTTGAACAGTGTGATCCCCCTGTAGTTTCCTGGGTCAGTCTTGTCTCCTTTCTTGAACAAGTTCACAACCACTCCTGCCCTCCATCTACTTGGCGTAGGGGGGGGGTTAACTGTGTTTTTCGTGCGTGACAATTGGCATTGGGTTCCCGTCTTCCCTCCATGTTCCCTTGCTTCTTTCGTTGTTTTATACGTGACACGAGCCACGTTTGGCATGCACGGAGATCACGGAGATACACCCCGCCCGTAAAAACATTATTCGTTTAATCGTTTTCTGTTTGCCTCGCCGCCCTACTACTACTGCCAGGTGGCGGTGTGCATGATCGACTTCGCGCATGCCGTTCCGGTAGACGGAGACGGCGAGCTAGGGGAGGGCCCCGCGGAGGCTCCCGGAGACGAGGGGTACCTATACGGAGCGGAGAACGTGAGTTGTGTGCCGTGGCCCGTGAGGTAGATAAGACAGACAGACGTATGGCTTCGACTAATAGAAAAACGTGTTTTCCTTTTTGGTCCGGCTGCAAGACTGACGTCTTTTCATTGGTCAGCCGGTTATCGCGGTCGATCCTAGAAACAAAAACACGCACCTCCGTTTGAATCGAAAACGTGTTTGCGTGTTCCATCCCGCTGCAAGACTGACATCTTTTCGTTGGTCAGCCGTTCACGGCGCGGTCGATGCTACACATGGATTGTCGCCAGGGGTTGGGACGACCTGGGGTTATCAAGCTTTTCTTTGTTCTGTCCATCTGTTCGCCCTGTTTCATCCTACCATTGTACACCGATTACTTTTGGCTGAATACCTGCACAGCCATGGGATGATTGTTCTCGCCTTTTCCCCTTGACTTTCAGCCGCTCATCCCGAGGTTGATTTTCCTTGTCCACAACCCCCCCCCTCCCTGCCCCCCGTCGGACCTGTATTTTTCCTACCTATGCCCGTAAAATCTTCGCTCCCATCTTGTCCCATGTCTTGTCCTACTACTGTGGACGTATTCACGTAGAGCTCAATCACCACTTTTCCGACCGATCGTTGCAATCCATGAGTTGATCGATCGCATTGCCGTTGTTGTTCCTCCCCTCCGGCCGATGCGGTTGACGGCGTGTCGAACGTGTCATGCGAACAGCTTGTCGGCATCATGGAGGAGCTTCTGGAGGTGACGGCCGAGGAGCCCGACGCGCCGATGGAGCTCTCGGCGATCTCGGCGAAGCTGCAGTTCATGGCCAACCTCAAGAAGAACTACGTCGCTGACGCCTGAGCCGTTGACGCGCGCCTGATGAGAATGTCTTCACGAAAACGAAACTGCTGTGTAGGCTTTCCATCAGTTTTCGGCCGTGTTTTTCAGCTTCTTTTTTTTTTCTGGGGGGGGAATATCGCACGAGGCGCATTTGGCCGACGCGAAATGGACCGACAACATGGGCGCCGCTGCTCTGGTACATAGGATGCCCACAACACTTTACGGAGTTGGTGAATGTATCTCGATGTGCTGTGTCTGTGTTTCTCACGACTGTGACATATAATAGCACACACAATGTTGATGGCGATTGGGAGGAAATTTTTTGTCTGTTTTTAGGGTCCCTGAGTTTTTTGGGTCTCTGACGAGCGAGCGGGGGACACGTCTGTTTCCTTCATGTTTTTTTACATTTTTTCGATAGTTTTGTGTTTTGTTCGGGGCCGTGGATGTTCCCAGATGCTTGCCGATTTAGTCCCCGCTGATGAAAGTCGTGCGCGCTTCGCTTCGCCGCGTTTGTAGGCGAACATAGATCTCCGCCGACTGAAACCCCTACGTACGTAGTTTTTTTTTTACGATTATTGCACAATATGGCTCGTGAAAGGAACTTTTGCTTCCTCCTCTCGGATGCCCGCATCTTCCAGGACGGCTGGTGCTTCGCGAGCCGTACAGTCACGGGCGTGGAGAAATATTTGGTTCATCAAGAACCAGCGGCGGACCCTTCCACTGAAGTATACTCACTCATTAGTACTTCGTAGGAGTATGTAACAACCTGAACGTGGCGACGAAATAAGAAATTTAGGCTCAACCCGATTTGGACGCTTGTTATTTTCCGGGCCTGTAGTGCTGTAGGCGCCGCCGCTGCATGCTGTTTTTTTCGCGTGTGATCTTGTGGTGTAGGGCTGACAGCTCGTATCGTGTGTGGCGGTGTTCCCGTGGTACGGAGGTCCACGCCTGGTACATGGGTGCCAGCCGCTTGTATACCGTCCGGTGGCGAGCATCTTTTTGCCCAGGCACATTGATTTTATGTTTGTGAAATGTCGCCCATGGTAGTATTGTCGATGTCTTGCAGCCTAACCGTCTTACGCTTGGCGATCAAGGATTCACACTGGTCCATCAAACGTGCAGTAGTAGTTGTTCTTCGCCCGAGGATGACTGACATGTATTGATAAGCCAACGTTAAGATGAAGTCAGAATCTGGTGGCGTCGTTCACCTGTGGGGAATGACTTCGATCTTCCGTTCAGGTCGATGTGACCCCCTTGTGACGAAAAACCTGTACGTATATTGCTGGAGCCACTAGATGGCATATGAGGTCACCGCCTGGACAACCGGGGCGAGCGGTCTACGCTGTGCGTGAGTATGAAGTCCACGGATGGATCCATTCTGAGCTTTTAGGGTTTTCAGTTTCGGTTGCGAAACAAACCACACTAGCAAACGTTCGCTTGGCAGTGCTTCATGACAAGAAATAAATGGAGAATTGCAACATGCACAACGGCACATCACGTTCATTGGAGAAACGAGCATTACATTGCCAACGCAGCCTTGCCTCAACCAAACGTTTCATGTGCTGTAGTCTACAACCCTTTCAAGAGAAGAGATTTCGTTATTTTGTTTTGGGCGGTGTCGTTGTCCTGATGCTGGCTGGCGGGTGATTACACGGTGCTGTCGTGATGAAAAGCGCTACATAGGCACGGGAAAGACGGCGATCGCCGACCAATGTATTCAAGGATCAACACCTATGTCGCGATCGAAATGTCGTGAACAATGATTCTTGTTGCAACCTCTTGAAAGAACAAGCAAGGCGATGCCGACACGAACAAGATCCCTAGCACCACTAGACTAAGTAAGGTGTTTTATTCCGGCTGGCATCACGGCTTCCTGGCGGTTAGGACCTACTGCTGTCCGTACGTGCGACTCCAAGGAGTCCAGTGTCCGGCAATTCAGGGCGACACTCCGCCGAAATATCGCAGTGTGGCAACGTTTCAAAGAGACACACCTTGCGGATCGCGCTGTGGTAGTTGCTAGCATGCGTTAGGCAGTAGCACAACAATCGCTTTGGCCGAGTACCGGGACAAGTACGAGGCATGCGCACCGGTCACCCAGCAACGAGCCGGTCCTAATGGCTTATGCTGGTGAAGACGGTGGTACCGGTATCATCATCGCCACGAGCATACGCCATGAAAACAGGGTCGTTGGTGGATGACGAAAATGCGCCCGGCTTGTAATCATGGCGGTGCTCGGTTTGCAGTATACTACACTGCCAGAAGCATGCAAGCAACTCCCGCAAAGCGCTCTGCACGTCTACCCCTTGACCACGATGTTTACTTAATTGTGATGCTACGGTCAGAATGCGGGAAGTCTTGCCGTATGCCGAAAGTCACGGCAGAAATTACTCCCTTGAGATATGAACATGTTGCCGTCTTTACAGTCACATTTCGTACAACATTACACATTGAACGGCGCTCGCTGTAACACCGACCAGTCTTAATGGGCAAACAGTCTTCCTCGAGTACATATAGTTGTTGTTTTTTCTCAGCGAAGCAAAGAATCGGGAAGTTCGCGCAGGGTATGCACGGAAAGTTGTCTCGAAGGAAATGTTAGTCTTGTGCCAAGCTTACCATATGGCGAAAACGTGATCCGGGTGTGTTACATACAATGTGGACTCTATTGAAAAGATTTTCGAGCCGGGATCTTGAACAACAATTAGAAATCTTGTCTGTGCGAGAAGAATCCACACCTATCTCTCTTCCCTAGAAGAGGTGGGTGATCACCAGAGGTCTCATATGAGCGCTATACAGCTTCCGGAAGGCTGAAATGCTGAAAGGGGATTTTGCGCGAGTCAGACCGCCCCAAACGTCGGAAAACAACAAGATTTGCGGAGGAGGAAGATTTATTTCCTGTTCCTATCAAGTCCGGTGTGAAGAAGATCACTGGGTCCGGCATCCTCGTCATGGAGTATCCTCGCGGTATCAACGGTAGATTTATATTACCGGGGTGTTGTCCTCGCCATGGAGAATCCTCGCGGTATCAACGGTAGATTTATATTACCGGGGTCTTGAACGAGGACGTTACAAGATCAGTGCCATGGTCACTACAAGCAAAGACGTGTACTGAGAGACACATACAAGCTTGTATACGAAAGAAGCGCAGAGCGACTCGCAGCAGAAGCGCTTCACTCATGATCTTAACCCACTTGAAACTCGTATCGTGATAATCAAAAGCACGTACGGGCTCTTCCATCACTCTGCCAATAATGGCCCAACCTTGGCCATCGGCACATGCGGCTTGTAAAGCCGGCCCTTGGTATCGAGCTTCGCGGAGTCGTGTGCCACACGCGTACACATCTCTGGAATCGTGTGCTATGGAAATACCTACGCATCTCCTGTCATAGTCAATGTTCAGTACTACTACTTACGTAGACGAATGATTAATGTGTCATATATGTATCGGCTGGAACGCAACGTATGCGGAGGAACTAGACTAAGAGCTGTACCTAGTCTGTAGCTCGTTCTGTCGTTCGGTGCACGACCTCACTCTTTGGGATCTCTCTCTGTGATCTATCGGACTGTCTGGGTACTTTAGCTGTCTTTGTCGTACCTTGGATGCTGCTGGCATACTGACTGGGCTACAACCGTCTATCGGGTGTATCTGTCTGTGTTGGCCACATAAGTGCCGTGTTTACAACATCTCTCCATCTTCTTCTGCACTGAAGTACTGCTGTGCTTCTGCTGCTACAAACTCCACGAGCTATCACACCGGCTAGCGTTGGTGGGCGTCAGCTTCTGCTGCTCCGTGCTGGAGTACACACATATTCCCCATTATATCGTGGGATATAGTGTCATCGATTTCTGTCTGCCACTCAGAGTTGTTTGTCCACCACGAGGGCCTACATAGAGAACACATAGATGTATCCCACTGTTTCAGAGATGTGTACGCGTGTGGCACACGACTCCGCGAAGCTCGATACCAAGGGCCGGCTTTACAAGCCGCATGTGCCAATGGCCAAGGTTGGGACATTATTGGCAGAGTGATGGAAGAGCCCGTACGTGCTTTTGATTTTCACGATACGAGTTTCAAGTGGGTTAAGATCATGAACGTGAAGCGCTTTCGCTGCGAGTCGCCCTGCGCTTCTTTCGTTCAGAGGTTAGTCTCTCATGCGCCAACACCCCCCGTTCGTTGCAAAGATGTGCCCAAATCAGGTAAAAATCAATCGACGGATACCCTGCGAATCGGGTCCTAACGTGGAATGACCAACTCAGCTTGGAAGTGGTCTCCCTCAGCCAGGTCCTTGAACAGCAGGCTGTCCATGGTACTCATGCAGGCATGCGAATGCGTCTTTGGCCCTCTCCGTTAGACTCTCGAACTCGTCTCTTACACTGAGCTCCTTGTGTAGCCTTGCGCCTCCGCTATTTGCCCTGGCCTCAAGATACCCCGGTTTCCCCGAGAAAGTAAACCCTTCCCGTATATATCGTTTTTCGCTATACGTTGTCGGTGCACATTTCATTTTAAAAATGACACATGTGAGTAGAGAATCTTTATGAGCATTGTGTGCCACTACAGAGTGCTACCTGTACGACGACACAAGATAACACACACCCTGGACCGATTTTCGAAGGAAGCTCGAGTTCTCCACGACCAAGAGCATGCATACAGTCTTAGACTATATACGAAACGATGCGTTTTCGGAACATCTCGACCAGACGGTTTGGACGCTGCCGTCCTCGGCGCTGCGTCTCTTCCTACTGTCGATGAATCGAGCTATGAAGATCGGTCCAGGGTCTGTGTTATCTTGTGTCGTTCGTATACGGTAGATTCCAGTGATGATGCATTCATTGGAAAAGACTCGTCTGGGTCAGGTTGTCAGGTTCGGATATGACAAACAAATTGAAACGTGACCTTCGCAAGTGACCGACGTATGGGGATGTTGCCTGTTTTGATGGCACGACATCCCTTACACTTCCGCAGGCTAGTGTACCTACATGTGCAAAGGGAGGGAACGCCAGAACAAGGACATGCCTGACGTTTTCCCTATCATAGACTATCTACTATGCTTCGACCTCCTCGATCTTGCCTGCAATATCGGTGCTTGGTCTGGGTCCCGCCGCTCTTTACACCAGCAGGGACGGTTCGAAGTTGGCGTCATCCGCGCTGGTGATCCTTCCACAGTTCAAGTCAGGACCCGCAAGACCTTTGGAGGCACTTGTCGACCTTGCGGGATGCAAGGTCTTCTGCAAGATATTCGACCCACCCAGACAAAGATGGAGCGACCTTGAGCGACCGGTAATTCCTACCGCGTATCTTGATTCGGGGATTTTGGATTGTTGGCTTTGAGCCCTCCCCGGACCACAGGAGTAGAAGGGGGAAGTGAATCATTCCCCGACCGCAATCGACCCAAATATCGAAGCAACGAATAACAGGCTGCAACATGTACGAAGTGCTGGGGACAAGAGCATGGTAGGTATTGTAACATGGGGCGGGCAGGACGTCTGGGAATTTACAACTTCGCGGTAGGCCTGTCCTCCATCGGCCGTTTTGCTTGTATGACGGAGAATAAGAAGGTGGAATTACTTGAAATTAGTATAGAAATAAAGTTTGTGTATCTTAATCGAAAATATAACGGTCGATGGAGGACAGGCCCACGAAGGCTTCGCGGTCGTTAGGGATGCGGCGAAACAACTGCCGGTTCGATGTCATCATTTATTGGGATATTGGAGAGTGGGCGTGCGTGATTGCGCATCTATCTGCGGATCGGCGTGTCATGTGTACTCCATGGACCGTTGACCCTGACCACAGTCATGAAGGCGCCGCAAGCAGCACAGGTGGGAGTCGTGTAGCCCGACGTTTACACAACCGCACGGGTTATTCGAGAGGATATTAGATACGATGAGGTAGCTAGTGTAGTGCACCAGTGAGGAGGAACTCCACTTAACAGAATGTCAACTCTCCGTCCCTACTTCGTTGATCCATTATGTGATCCATGTGAGAAAGCAACAGCCAACAACAACAATCATGCCCGCGGTACACATTTTTGCGCAGGTGCCAAAAAATGCGAAAGGAGGGATCTTAGTTTGTGAAGAGGAGCTCAAAGCCGCATTCGATTTTTTCGATGTCGAAGGCAAGGGAGTCATCACCGCCGGCGCATTGCGAAAGAAACTTGGGGCATTTCATCGTTCATTGAGCGCTAGGGAGGCCCGTGTTCTCATGAATAACAAGGCGGAGATGACGATGGACGACCTCAGAGAGGTTCTGCTGGAAAACGAGGTCACAAACTTCGATCCAGTTGCCGAGGCGTTCAAGGTTAGCTCTTCGATGCAATCGACTGTTGAGATTCTGCTCGACGTTCTAACGACTGCTGCTGCTGTTTTGCTGTTGTTTTCACACAATTTGCCAGTTCCCGAAGCTCGTACAGTCTCGAGCTTTGTTGTCAGCGCAACGAACCCTCAACTTTTGCTCGCAAAAAATGGGATCAACGCAGGTTTACGACCCTTCTGAAACCGGTTTCATGGACACGGAGATCCTCAGGAGCATATTTGACAACCTTGGTTTCGGGCAAATGTCGGACGAGGATTTAGCCATTCTCGTCGAGGCTGCTGACGGAGACGGGGACGGTCGCGTAGGAATATCAGATTTTCGAGAAATGTGTGGTTCTGTGGGCAAACGGGAGGCAATGGCAGCCAATGCTGACAACCAAGCAGAGGACGCCGACGAGGCAAAGACGAGCTGAGCGTACCACTGGGGTGGTTGGAAGATGATATATCCCTGGCACACTATAGTGCGATCTGGGGCGTGGAATCTATACTGGCGAGAAATTGCCCCGTCTTGAAGTACGATTCGCCAAGACGGTCATTTGAGATCTGCTTGAGATTGTCCTGGTTCGTTTGCTTCGCGTGAGAATAAAGCGTACTCTCCTGGGCGGAACCACATTGCATGCCAGGTTTGTTCCGGTGGCAACCGAATTCGCCCGCTGTCCGTCAGGAGGGTGTCTGGAATTACAGGTAGAGAGATATTTTGATGCTTGATGTACAAGGCTGTAAAGAGTCACTGGCGCACCAAAAGCACCCGCGACACCAAACAAACAAAAAACAGCCAATCCATGAACCAAATGTTCCTCGTCCAAAAACACAATCAACTTTGGCCTCAGCATAGCAAGCTCAGGACCAATAACAAGGGGAGACCTACGGCAAGACGATACCTAAAGTGCGCGGATGAGTTATGAAACAAGGTTCTGCTATGCCTAGAGCTTTGATTTGTCAGATCTTCCTTATGTACAGGATACCTCAACAGGCAAGGTACCTGATATGTCACATTTGACACCGCTGTACTCACGAAGCATCAAGCGAAACTCTTATCGCTTGCCCGATGACTACAAACACTGATTTCGAGACAACGCGTGGCCAAACGAAGAGAGACAGCGGCGCATGCTTTCCCAACCGCCCTCGCTCTGTGACAGCCGGGCATGCTCTCCCAATCGCCTTCGTTGCTGTGTGTGCTTCCTCATTGATGGGGATGAGGTCTTGAACTAGACGTTCCATCGAGAGGTGCATAAGGCAGACGCCCAAACAGAAAAACATAGACCGAATTCCGCTTGAGGGTCTTGTCGCCCCGGGGTTATCGTGTCGGTTTCTTTTTTCGCCAACCCATGATTGAGAACCCCTGAACGGTGTTCTTTCCTTTCAAAGAGAAAATATTTTTGGCGCCCCGCGGGCCGTTCTCAAAGGAAGACACTACTCCTTTGGTATTACACTCCAAGGCTCCAACCAAAGCCACGGTTAAAGGAGTACATTACGTCCAACAGATGCTGATAACCTCGCCAACCCTATCTTACAACCTCCGGCATCGCCTATACACGTGTCAACCGACACTGCCGGGGACGTCTGCCCACCCCGCACAGCCCTACCACATTCTTAGCCCACGCCCCCTCTTTCCCCACTTCCAGTCCATGCCCCACCTCTACCCCGAGTAGCCAAAACAGCGTGTCTGCCCACACACCATGCCCAATACGATACAATTCTGGCGAGCATAACACGAGCGTGCCAGCTTCTAAAGGGGAAGGGCGGGACTAGTTGTAGTACATTTCCAATCCCATGCCGTCGTGGATCTCGTAGTCTTCAAGGGTGATGTGGTCCTAAAGCGCGGGGATTCACACACGGATAGGAGGGGCATACCAGCAGCAGCAGCAGCAACCGAGGGTGAGGGTAGGGCAGCAACGTGGAACAGATTTGGCGAGGGTAGACGGAGGAAAAATAGCAGAGCTGACGCACAAGCGTTCGGTGACCCCACCTTGTAGACGGTGTACCACTTCTGGATCCGGATCTTCTCTGGTCGTGTGCCGACCTGCGCGGCTATGAGCTTCTTCAGGTCCCCTATTGTGTCGTCTTCGTTGCACTTCACCCTCACCTGTGCATGTCATATTGTGAGTGATAAATTCAGTTTGTGAGTGGCAATCATTTTGTGAGTGACATTCAGTTTGTGAGTGATATTTTGTGAGTGATATTTTGTGAGTGATATTTTGTGAGTGATAACGCCCGACATATTGTCCAAATTGACATTGTCGTGCGCGTGATGATATAACGTCCCCAATGTGTCAAATATTGTCATTTCGTGGGTGGCAAACGTGCGCACCTTGTCATTGAATATGTGATGAAACTCGCGATGTGTCAAAAATTGTTGGCATATCGTCGGATATAATTTTGGCTACCGTCGCAACTATTCCCACGAACACCGCCTTGCCGTCGATGTTTCGTACAAAAAGTTCGGACATCATCCGACAAACTCTTTGGCTAACTAGGCTGCGTCGTTGAAAGTGCTGACATCATCCGACAAACTCTTTGGCTAACAAGGGTACGTCGTTGAAGGTGCTGACATCATCCGACAAACTCTTTGGCTAACTCGGCTGCGTCGTTGAAAGTGCTGACATCATCCGACAAACTCTTTTGGCTAACTAGGGTACGTTGTTGAAAGTGTTGACATCATCCGACAAACTCTTTGGCTAACTAGGCTGCGTCGTTGATCGTGCCTGCCTGTTGTTGCGACACATACTACTCGCGGACGGAACTAATGTAGCATTGCCTTAAAGCGAACAATGGTGGCCAAACCAAGTCTTTTAAGGCAGAAGGACGCGTATTCGTGTCCTTTCAGAGCAGGTCATAGCTTGCCTTGTGGCGGCGACCAGCAACAGAGGCAAACGACGTGTTCGACGGCTTTACCGAGGGTTGTTGTGTACATACACGGCATCACGTGCTAGTTACCTCCAAGATGGTCACGGGTCTTTGCTGGTCGTGGTTGGTCGATTGGACAAGCGCTCATCGCAATCAGTCATGTGCTGGTGTGTCAGCTGACAGACCCCAAGAAGAGGCGAGTGACCGGGCACATACAACACATCCAAACCACGACCTTTGGGCCAAATTATTAGTATCCTCCGCAAAAGATGAGAGAAAGACGCACCACAACATAAACCCAACAGGCATGGGAGGTCATTGACCGTTGCCGCGAGGTCAATACACAACAGCAGATGCAGGCGCGTTCCGCTGCGCTCCAACTTACATTTTGGAGGCCGCCGCTCATTGTTTTTCAAGCGACGCGGGGTGCTTGGCTACCCCCAGGCTCTCCCGTGGTACAGCAGTGCTTGCGGAGAGATTAGGGTGCGAGGTGGATGTACCGCTGCGGGGTGTGTGTTTCGTCCTATTTAGACGTGTTTCAATGTTTCAATACTTCAATCAGTGGGAAGACCACCATCATCGTCTACAGCCACGCCTGGAGCGCCCAAATCAACGGTTATACGGGTACGACATACATACGCACCTTCTTTCCCAACCGATCGTTGCAGATCACTTCGATCATCGTCTCCCCTGCTGTCGCTGCTGCTGGGCTGATCTACGGAGGTCGTCCTGCGCCACCCCCCGATTTACCTCACAAATATATCCTTTGCGCTTGAAAATACAGTGGGTGCTCCAATAGAGGTCCCTGCGACCCACGCCCTGAATGAATGGCAGGCTGGTAAGATGGTGGTGCTACTCGACGTGGTTTCGGGTACACACAGCGGCACCACGGGCAGCACTGCTCGGCTGCTCTAACGCGATCCCCGCCCGGGATGTCGGTACCCCGCAGTCTGAATTCCGTTGTCTCTTGCGCGTGCCCCCCATCGGGTCTGTCCGCTTTTTTTTGTTATGCTCTCTGTCTGTCATAGCATCGCGTGTCGCACCCACCGGCACCATGTCTGCGGTTGGTGCTAAGGCCAGGGAAGGGGCGGGAGCACGAGGAGGGCCCGCAAAGAAGGGCCAGCCCAAGAAGGGCGACGACATTGTATCGGTGGAGGAAAAGGTGTGGACATTACGGATGGGTGCTCGAGATCCACCGTCCAACGTCGCCCGTTTCGAGGAAATCTGGGTTGGGAAGGGCGACAGCAAGCGCAAGGTGTGCATGCGGTCAAGCGCAAGCCTCTCTATTTGCCCGTGACGGGTCAACGATGAAACCAGAGGTGGTATAGAGCAAAGGACGTACTTTTTATAGTGCAACTATTGCTACCGTGTGGGTGCGTACATTGGCAGTCTGCAGTGCGGGATGCAACGGGCGGTGCAACTCGTTGTCGGATCACGCAGCATTGGTGGCGATATATACTATCCTGTTGGGGGAGAAACAGCGATGTCCGTATATTCCTCGACAAATTATACCCAGTTGAGAATCATTGTTGTGATTATTGTGTGCTCCGCCCTGAACTACTACTGCTGTACGCGGTACGGACTGCTGATTTGCTGGGTTGCCCACCGGCTCCATTACGCCGCGTTTTGCCCTCGGTTTCGCCGCGTTTAGCCCCCTTACCACGCTACCATGCACAGAAAATTCGGCTTTCTTGCGAAGTTACTGAAATGTAAGGAAAGAGAGAACGACGCCTGTTGATTGGATGGTGCAGGCAGTTCCATCCCTGGGTGCAAGTGCAAAGCTGCCTTCCCACTTGAGCCGTCTCTTGTCGATAATCCCTATCAATTGTCCCCTCGATTATCGAGGGGGCGTTGATAGGGATTATATACAGCAACTGGCGGGAGCGGGGTAAACGGGGCACGAAAAGAAAGTTTTTGCGATATTTCTTTAGAGGGAAAGCGAGAGCTCCTAACCCAAGCCCTAGGTTGCCCAGTGCCTCCTATCAACGTTGGGCTAGGTAGCGCTTTCCACCCAAGGGTAGACAGACGCGGCGCAAGTTCGCTGTTGAACCCGCGGCGTAATCGCCCCGCGATTCGATCTGTTCATTACCCTTGTACTCCTTCACTCTACAAAGCATCCATACGAAACTAGAGTCGTCCCCGTGTACCCTGGCACCCCCCTGGTCAAGTAAATCAAAGGAGGCGACAATCATGCCATTCTTCACGAGGTGAAGCAGGTGAATAAGATGGGGACAAGAAGTGTCCCCAAAAGGCGATCTAGCCCTAAAGGGGTTAATCCCCAATCGTCAACCGTTGCTCCTACAGTAGATAAACACACCATGTTTGTGTTTCCAAGTAGTTCCTGACATGATGGTCTTACCTCTTAGAAAGAATTACCTATCCAGCGGGGCAGTGCCCACCCGGGTCGCAGCACCATAACTCCTCTCCTCTGTGGAGCGCTTTTGGGCTTTCCCCGGGTCTCCTCCCGTCTCTGTTTGACTGCACACATCCAGAGGCCACGTGAATGTCTCTCGTCTCGCTCTCGGCTGACTATATAGGCAAGGGTAAGAGGCAGCCTCTCTCGCTCCTTCCCTCTCTCTCTCCCCCCCTCCATCTCGTTTTTGAAACACTTCTAGACACGCGCACACAAGTCTACACTACACTTAACAGCAGCACTCCCCGACGCCCCGCTGTTCCTCATCCCCTCTGTCGTTTGAATGCCGGCACAATCCACTATGACAGGTCCCGCGGCCCCCATTCGACGACCCGACAGTCTTCAGCAGGCCCGCCTACATGTACCGGGAGCAGGAGGCCGAGGAGCATAGTGAGGTGGGCAGCTGACGCTGTGCACTCCCTCCACACTCGACTGCTGTGTTTGCATCCCTATTTAGCGCAGGAAACATGCAACTTTAGACCAATGGGGGAGGGGTAGTAGGGTTCGTTGATGTGACGACGCAGGCGAAGACGACTTACTGATGCGCTTCTCTGAAGTATCGGAAGCTTGAAATCGGTCGGTGCTCCCTCGGGTTTAGGATCGTTCCTGCCTGCTGTTTAGGGTGAGACTGCTGTCGTGAGGCTACCCCGCGGGCTGTAGCTTTGGGTGTTTATTTGTCGTCGTTGTTTCGCATGCTATGCGATGGAACCTAGCAAGGACGACGACACCAACGCCAGTACCAACACTGAACTACCACTAGCAGCAGCAGCAGCACAATAACAACCACAACAGCAACAACAATCCCACTCGCAGAAGCAGCAGCACCAGCAGCAGAACAACAGCAACAACAACGCTACACAATCGCTGGTCAGGACGAGGACTACGAGGGTCCCGGGAAGTTCGATGCGTTCGAACGCCCCGCCTTCAAGAGACGGACCATCAAGACCCGAGCCATCCAGTGGGCGCTAGAGGACCGAAGAGACCACGCCAAGGGGGGCGGCATCAAGTACATCGGCGACAAGTAAGACACGCGCGTTGCTTAGTGACCTCCATACTTTGACGTACTCCATGCTGTGACGTACTCCCCCGTTACCATGACACCAGACACAGCACCCAGCAGAATCATCGGTATCTCTGCGCCGACCCTCCCCCCCATTAAGCTCTTGCGGTACACAGACAACACCCTACATAATCATCTCTTTGCGCCCACCCCAAGTGCTTCCCCTCTCCTGGTTGCCCCCCCGTCCTCCCCGTCCCCCGCTTGGAACCACACCTCGGCTAGAATCACCCAGCAAATGAGCAGGTACGCGACGTTTAAGGTGGACCCCAACCGGCCACAGACGATCGAGGTGACGCCCATCGATGAGTGGTGGCAGTTCAAGAAGGTAAGGAGGTGAACACCCCCGGAGTCCCCCTCGCTTGATCTTGAACCGATACAGTAGCAGATCGTAGTAGTACCTTCTCTCTTTTTATGTAGGTCCATTGTCCTTACAAGTAACATCACAGAAATCCCGATCCTCACATGACAGAAATACTGCTCGCTCATCACAAAAATACTTCCCGCTCCTGATATTGTTGTTCTTGTTTTTTTTGTACTCCCAGCGTTGCAGTAGGTACGATTGGTTGACGGTGGCGGAAATCGGCTCCAGGTTTTCTTGTGAAGAGCAGCAGTCGTTGTTGTTGCTGCTGCTGCTGATGATGATGATGTTATTTCGTCGTACGCCGGTAGCGAAAAACAGACACAAGAGAAGACGACATCTAATCCCTCCCGATTCTCTATGTCGTGCCTTTGTTATTGTTGGCCTGTATTGCTCACGTGTTTTGTATTGATGTAGGCTCCGAAGGATACGGGGAAGAACATGACGGTAAAGGAGGCCGAGGAGCTGATGAAGAAGCAGGAGAACTTTCTCGGCCCTCTGTCGCTGGCCAACAGGATCTTGGGCAAGAAGAGCCTGGTGAGAGCGGGCCCCGCCTTGTGGCAAGGCAGTGCTGTTGTTGTTGTTGTTGTTGTTGTTGTTGTTGTTGTTGTTGTTGTTGTTGTTCTTGTTCTTGTTGTTGTTGTTGTTGTTGCTGTTGCTGTTGTTGTTGTTGTTGTTGTTGTTGTTGTTGTTGTTGTTGCTGTTGCTGTTGTCGTCTCTGTTGTTTGTTGCCGTCCTCCTTCCCTTGCAGGTGTTGTTGTCGTCGAGGCTTCTTGTTGTGGAGGAAATTATGCCCTCCCCAAGGTGTCCAAATGCATGGTGGGAGGCTTGCCCCTCGAACGGACGCTCGTTTCTCGCTTTCTTCAACCCCTTCCCCGATACCGCCCTAACGTGTTTTTTTGTTGGACAAATATGCGGGGCGCGTCTTTTGCGTCATCGTCCTCGTGGCAAGTAATTGAATCCGCAATCATCCTCCTTGTGCCCCGCCACCCGTAAATGAAGGAGGCTGCGGCAAAAGAGAAGGCGGAGAATTCTCGCTACGGAGGCCTGGACCATGAGGACACTCAGGTAAGCAAGCCCCGGCTTACCTCGTTCTGTTCAAATGGCCCAGGAACTAGTAAAAGCGTGTTGTAGAATAGAATACCAGTGGGAGCTTGTGACTCTTTCTCGCTAGCCCTGCGAAAGAATGGATATCACGCCGCCCCCCCCCCCTCCGCCCTTGCGGGATGCTTGCGCTACTCTCAGCTTCTGTTTACTTACACCCTGCTGAGAACTCCGTTCACCGAGCATAATCCCGGTTTCGAACCCTGCCGTCGTTTCTAAGCCGTCCGATGCGGTGCAGCTGTTCTACTCAAGTTTATTCGATGCCTACAGCTAGCTGGTAACACTCGTAGTCTTCCACACGGCATGCCTATCTTCCCCGTTGGTGTTCGTTGCCCCCCCCCCTCCCCCATGGTCAATGGGCGAACCGCTGAGGCATGCAAATTATGAGCATGCCCCCCCCGGGAGCCCGGTATTTTTTAGTGGCAACTCGTTGCGTTTGGTTCAGTATCAGTGTTTTCCAGAAGAACTCGTGGAGTAGTGTTCCGTTTCGTGTTTTTTGTTCCGTTACGCTCATATCTGACGGTGTTGGTTGGTGGGTGCGTGGGTATTTTCTTTTCTCATCCATTTTTTTTTTCAGGTTTTGAAGGAGGCCGGGATGAAGCTGGCGAGCCCCGAGGATGCGCAAGCCGTAGATGGCTTCGGTGACGGGAGCGGATCGGACGGCGGCACTGGGGAGATCGAAGTGAGCGAACGAGAAGTGGGGGTACAACGAGTGCCGCCGCCTCAGACCACGCTGCTATCCTCACTCGCTTCTTGCTGGCGCTTCCACACGGTGGCTGCCTTGTATAATAGTATCAAGCTTTGGTTGCTGTTGTTTTTCGATGGGAGCGTCGTGTAGAGTTTTTCCACCGCATTTCATTGAATTCTTGACAGGTTTCAAGTTATTTGTCTACCCACAGTACTAGTATGCACTCTTTCGCGCCGTGGCATGCGCCCACTTGTTGTTTTCATCGCTTCTGCCTCGTTTGTTTCTTTTTTACCAGTAAGGGGACGGTGCATTTTTCTCTTCGTTTTCTCCAATTGTTGTACGATGCAGCAGCCCTGCTCCAAGTTTGTTCTATTCGTCGTAACATTCTACGACGCAGCAGATTCTACTCCGACTTGTAGGGTACGTTGGGTAACGTTCAGCGACACAGCAGACCTGCTACTTATTTGTGTAACGTTCCGGTTGTTTTGTCTGTCTCCCTCTTGTCCTTGTTCAAGAAAGGGGAGGTGGACTCGGACGCGGGGGGCGAGGACGATGACTTTGGTGACGAGGTGCGGAGCGACGACGAGGAGGAAGTCGGAAACGACGACGCGAATGAGGGGGGTGGAACTCTTCACCAGGTGAAGCTTTTTTTTTTTTCATAAAAAATATACAGATTCTACATAGGCTGCCGTCAAGTGCACCGTTTCGTGTACTTTAACTCATGCAGGGCAATGAAAGAAAGGACTATCCGTTCACGATGTAAACACACCAAGCAGTCCACGGGAGTGGGTTGATTTTCGTGTGAAGTTCACCCTCGCATAGTTTATTTTTGGGTTGTATTTCGCTGATTTTAGAAATTAGTACATACCATCGGAGAGAGACTAATGTCCCCATTCCAGATATTACCATGGTCGACGGGGATGGGTTGAAGTTGTTTACAGTGCTTTTTTAAGGGATGGGTTGAAGTGTTTATTTTATGACGACCGTTGACACGAGCAGGAACCACAATTAGAATTTTGTCTGTTGGTGAAGCGCTTAAAAACCGACACCCTACTTTGTCAACGGTACCGAATGCTGCTGGGATGTCCATATCTAAGACACACGTGTGTCCAGATCGCGCGCACGTGATATCCTTCAAGTGGTTTTCGTGCGATGGCGTGACAACAGCTCAAAACCCCCTGTTTGCAACACAAAGCCCGGCAGCAGTGATACCAACACCAAAAGGGGTCACTTTTCCTTTGTTGTCTCACGGTACTGTATAGTCGCACACCACTACTGTCTCCTCGTGTCCCGTGCTTTCCTTTTGTCGACTGCTATGATGTGTACCTCACGAATCTCGCAGGACGACGAGGACCTGAACGACTCCGACGACGAGCACCTCACGGACGACGAGCACCACGAGCTGCAGAAGTTGTCCCGCTCCGTGAACGCGGACGGCGCCCATGTGGAAGAAGAGGTGAGAGGATGGCGGATTTTGCTTGCTGAAAACTCGTGTCGGTGTTTTGATTGGAGTGTGGCGGTTCAAATGTGTTTACACCGTTTGGGACATACACGGTATGTACGCCATGGTGTTGAACTCGTGGAGTTTTTGACTGGAGTAACGGTTTAACGTGATTTCACCGTTTGGGACGTACACATGTGTACACTATGGTGTGAGTTTTGCCGAATCTCTTGAGGTACGTGGGTTTGGAGGCAACGCGATCGTTAGGAGCGTGGCGCCCTCATTTTGGTCGTTCATGCGTGTGGCGAGCACACAACGGGCTGCCGCGAAAACAAAATCGGACCTCTCGCGGTCTAGCTGTGTCGTTACCAACGGGCAAGAGGAGAACGAAAGAGGAGGCATCTCGCAGCAGCCCCGGGGGAGGCGGGGGGGGGGGGGAG